TACTGTTTAATAAAATAACAACACAATTAATGATTAACAATGTCATTAAATTAACTACATCCGTTTAATGGTGATCTGTAATGAAAACGACACAATTAATATTTAAAAATATTGATCGGACATAATAATAACTAACGGTTAATAAAATAATAATTTAATGTCCCGTTAAACCCGTAAGTGCCAACCATAGGCCCAAAAGTGCAAGTTTAAGGTTCTGGAAATTACAAAACAGGCCTTAGGGGTATTCTGGACTTTTCCAGTAGTTGTAGGGGTCCCTCACGCGCCCCCACGCGCCTCCCAGAGCTTCCTACACGCGCCGCCACTTTCCTCACACGCGCACGCGCTTACACGCGCCTCCACGCGCGTCTGGCATCAGCCACGCGCGCGCACGCGCCGCCACGCGTGCACTAATGCATCCTGATGACGCGGCGTGTGCTGGTTGGTCGGTTGTACCGTTTCTATGTGGGCGCGCTACACTGGATTGATCCTATCTTAGTTCTTCTAATCCAAGGGTCCTGGTTCGCGCGTGCACCATCTTATGGTGTATTGGACTACACCGAATCAATCTGCTGATTAGTTACTCATCTAACGGCCAGATATCCATGCGCACAGTAACTATAGTGCGCCGTATCACACCGGATGACTCCGGTCATCTCCCCCACTGCCGGCGACCGGAAAACTCGCCGGAAGGTCGCCGGAAAATGCAGAAAAGCCCCGAAAAATTCCTAAAAATTCTAAAAAAAATCCCAAAGGCCATAATAATTATTTTTAGCTATATTTTGATTACATAGGCCATAAAATAATTGTTGACCACCCTTAATAATTAAAATTCCTTTCTTTAATAAATTAAAAAAATTTAATTTAATAATTTCCTAGCATGATCTCTAAGCTCTATAATTATTTAAATAATCTAAACAATTAATTTATGGATTCAAAGGGGAAAAGTAGATAATAACTTGCCTTTTTGGATTTAAAATAAATCCGCCGGTTGCGCGTAGTCGGGTAAATTCCCTACACCGGTCCAAGCTCCTTTCTTTCTCTCTCTTCCTTTCCACACTTTTACAATGGCTCTCTAGAATTTATACTTTGTTTCTAACTTCCTTTTTTTTTTTTTTTTCATTCTAAGGTAGGCTAGCTAATTTATATAATATAAATATTACAAATATCTAATTTTTACATTTACTAACCACCTTCCCAACCATATGGCTTCAATTCCACCCATAAACATTGATGCAATCCTATCCTAATCTCTAATTTCATCATGACATTGGTTTAATACTATTATTATTATTATAACTATTATTATTATTAATAAACTTTTATAATCATTATTATTATTATATTATTATTATTAATAAACTTTTATAATCATTATTATTATTATTATATACAAATTAAATACTTTAATTAAATAATAATAATTAATCTAAAACATAACCAATAAAAATTTTAAAACTAATCATTATACTATATAGAACATAAATCAATATTACATGCACAAATAAATAAAATTAATTAACCTAACACAAAATAAATTTAAATACACTCTTTAAAATTACGGGGTATTACAATTATACTCATATAATGACTCCTACATGTCACCTGTGTCAACTCCGAATTTTAGTTCCAACGGTAGAAATTGCTCTAAGCGATATCCTTGTGTTTAGATCTAGGTTTTCTAACAACAAACATATTTCGAAATTTTGTTTCTAACTTTTTTTATATATTAGCATGTTTATTCTGTCATATTTCATACCTGCTTTATTAATGTTTCTGTTATGGAACTATGTCCCATTTCATTTAATTTGACTTAAATTTTGAATAGAACAGTATTTGTTTTGGAGTAAAATACTTTTAAGGTAATTTTGAATTTTATGTTTCTAATTTTATTAATTAATGTTAGGGACATGAATGTGTTGAGAAATATTAAAGAGTCCGATGTTAAAACTATTTTCATTTTGAATAAATAAAAGGGCAAAGTACAGAAAATCCCCCATCGACTTGTAGCATTTTCTAGTAAACCCCTCTTGTTTATTTTTTTACCAAAGAACCCACCTCGACTTGTATCATTTTTCCAATAAATCCTCCTTGTCTAATTTTTTACCAAAGAACCTCCCTCAACTATCTGAAGGGGGTAAAAAAGTTGATAATTGGACTAAAATACCCTTTTATTTAAATATTAATTCTCCCAAACTTCAAAAATTCATATCTCACAAACCTTACATTTAAAAATTAATAATAATATATGTACAGAAAGCTTATAAAATAAAGATTCCAGAAATATAAAATTTGTACAACAAACCTTCATAACTAGAGAAAAATAGGAAATCTAAAAATCTACTCAAACAATCTTATTTTATTTTTAATAAATAAAATACTTGAGATATTTGCAAGAAAATTTTCAAAATTATTCATTTCCATATCGAGTCGAATATATAAAAAATTTAACCCCAACAGAGATCAATTTCATGAGATATCATATTTTGCGTCAAAGTATTTTCATTCTTTTATAGACTCGCCATTTAAAAAATTTAAAAATGAATATTGGGTCTCTATTGGGGCTAATTTTTTTATATGTTATGCTTTTTATGAAAGTGAATAATTTTGAAAATTTTGTTTCAAATAAATCCAGTATTTTATAAAAAATAAAATAAAATAAAATTATTGCAGTAAATTATTTTAAATTGTCTATTTCTCTTTGGTTATGATTTGTTAAACAAATCTTATATTTCTGGAATCTTTGTTTTATAACCTTTCCGTGCATATATTACTCACAATATTTGGATGTACGGTTTGTGAGATATGAATTTTGAAGTTCAGAAAAATTAAGATTTAAATAAAAGGGCATTTTGGTCCAAATATCAACTCTTTTACACTCTTTAGATAGTTGAGGGGGGTTATTTGGTAAAAAAAATTGAACAAAGGAGATTTATTGGAAAGGGCTACAAGTCGAGGGGAATTCTTTGGCAAAAAATTAGACAAGGGGGAAATATTGGAAAAAGTTACAAGTCGAGGGGGATTTTCTGTACTTTGTCCTAAATAATAATAATAATAATAATAATAGTAATAATCATTTTAAATTTTGTTACAGTTGAATTAAAAACACTGAAAAGTCAGAAAGCCATGAAATTGATCAACATGGTGGCTTGTCATGGAGAGATTTTGCTCGTCCTCTCTAATCATATTGAATTATCATCTTGTTCAGCCTTTCCTAAGCACTGTCCTAATTTTCTTACTTATCTATCTATTTTTTAGGTTCTAGGCAAATTGAGATTGTTTTGATATATCAAAAAAGTGACATCACTTATTATCAAGGTTAAATGAGTTCATAACCTTTACAATTACATTATGACTGAAACTAAATTAGATGTATAGAAGACATGACGTTTCAAGTATTGTATTAAAGGGTTAAAAATTTTAAACCAAAATTTTAAGGATCGGTTTGAAAAAATAGTTTTGCAATTAACAGTAATAAATTATGTCACTTATTTTAATTAACATAATATAAGAAAGTGGGAAAAAAATAAAATAGAATTTCAAAATCAATTAATAATAGTAATGCTTTTGAGACGGATGGATGTGGTGGATGAGTATTGTCGTAGTTTCGACATAATATTCTATTTTCTACATGGTGCAACCCAAAACGGAACTAATCATAGGGTAGAAGTAAAAACAAAAGTTGTATGGCTTGTTAATCAAAAATGTTGGAAATTGGTTAGTATAGAATTCAAAATTGAAACTTACCTTCAAAAAACAAATGGATGTTGATTAAATTTGTACCAAAATTCAAATTGAAACATACCTTAAAACAAAAATAGGGATAGGGTTTGAGTTGTGTGCTTCAACCAAAAACGACTTTTCTTGGAAAGGTTTGAAGTTGCATTAGAACATAGAAAAAAAATATTTCCAACAATTTTTGTTCAGAGAAAATTCTTGAAAGAAAGGATGGATAGAAAAGAGCAAGATAGGTAGAATGAGAAGGATTCATACAGGCAAAATCTGAATGTCAACCGCCGATTATATAATTTTGAACTGACATGAAGAAGTTGCTTGGATTTCTTGTTTAATTGAGAGACTCCTTTAAAACTATAAGTCTTTGGGAAAAAAAAGAAACTAAAAGAAAAAAAGAAAAAAGAAAAGTGATGTTAATAAAGAGAAATATGACAATTGTTGCGTATAACATTTTTTTTTGTATATTAAAAAAATTATTTAAAAGTGTATATAAATAATCAAAATAGAATACACTTTTATAGGGTATATAAAAAATTGAATTTACCTTTAAAAAAAAAAAAAACTATTTTTTTATTGTTATTTAATTATATTAAAATTATTATCATTAAAATATTTATAATTAAAAGATTAATTTTTTATTGTTATTTATAGATTAGTTTATAATTGTTCTTTTTCGAGCATTTTGAGCTTCATCGAATAGTCATATTGTCATTTCAAGCATTTAGAAAGACATAACAGATTTTATTCATTTTCCGCTGCTGACATTAGCATAATTTTGTTTGTCTTCGCGGGGTGTCCTAACAGCAGGGAATCTATTACATAAATCACAATTCCAAAGAGAACTAAACCTCATTCCATTGCACTGCCAAAACTTGAGATAGAGAGGCTGTAAGGGTTACGCAGCCAACCACCACCACCACCACCACCACCACCACCTAATTCTGACCAAGTAATTCACCAACGCCTTGCATCTGTTGAAGACCACTTTGGTCTGGTTTCATGACAAAAATATCACATTTTAAATTATCTTATTTTCCTAAGTAATCAAAACTCTATTTGTTTGGATGTAAAATATTTTTTATTTTCTGATGTCTGGTTGTTGTAAAATATTTACAAAGAAAAAAAATATTAAAATTTAACAAAAATAACTTATCCATCAATTTTCGGCAAGTTATTTTACATGTCCCGCCCGATGGACTCGACCTCAACCTCAACGTAGAGCTTTGCCAAACACCGACAAAGTCAAAATAAAAGAATATTTTACTTGAAAAAAAAAAAAAAAAAAAAAAATTCAAAAAAAATATTTTACGTCCAAACAAACCGAGACTAAATGAATAGTCAATCTTCAATCATCCCAATGAAAAGTTTCATGCAATTTGTAACCGACTCTGTGTTTTTTGTAATTTTGCGATCAGATCTCTACTTCATCCATGGATGTTGGCGTGTACCGGAACCTACATTGAGCGATGTCTCAATCTCGCACCCAAGGCCTCCCAAAGGAAACAATTGACCTTTTCACGAACAATCCCAGTCAGATCCCTCCAATGGACAGAGAAGCCAGAGTCCTAAGGTACAGAGAGAAGAAGATAAGAAAGTTTGAGAAGACAATCAGATATGCCTCAAGGAAGGCCTATGCAGAAACCAGCCCCGGATCTAAGGCCGGTTTGAAAAGAGAACAAAGAACTTGAAGTGGAGCAGATGCTATCGACAACACTAATGGCAGAACATGGATATGGCTTTGTTCCATCATTCTAAATCCGACTATAAGAGAGGAAAAAGTAGAATCTTCATATGAGAATTTTGCTGATAAGTATTTTACTAAATCTAATTGTTTTTTTTTTTTAAATAATTAGTTATAATTATTTATTGTGTGCAATGATAATTCCCCTTCTGAGTTCTGAGTCCATATTTGCAATTCTAAATTTTGGGTTTCCGGGAGCTAAACCAAGAAAGGTTAACCGGAAGAACTGAATAGCCTACCCTAAGTGATTATCTTCTTTCCACTGAATAGCCTACCCTAAGTGATTATCTTTCATGGAAAGAAGAATCCAAACGCAAAACATCAACAAATCTAAAGGAATCCAAACCAACAATATACAGCAGCAACAAATTAACTAAGTGATGATTACCAGTGACAGAACACAGTTGAAGCCCCAAAATCCTACTTCTACTACACATATACTATGTTGCACACAGCAGCCACTATGGTGTTGATGCTAGTCAAAAGTACAAAATTTCACTTACCACAGTTACTGTCCTTGAATTCACAGCTTTAGCAACCTTCCAGGTCCCAACACTTAGGCTTCTGCTGCCACTTCATTGAGTCTTCATATCCATGCTACTAGTTGGTTTGGGCTTTAGGAGGCCTCCCCCGGCCTCGACGCTTTGGTTGCGCCTGCTGCTTCGGTTCCTCCTGCTGCTTTCTAGGCCTCCCACGGCCTCGACGCTCCGGTTGCTCCACTTGCTCCAGCTGCTCCCGTTGCTTCTTAGGCCTCCCCGGACCTCGATGCTCTGGTTGCTCCACTTGCTCCAGCTGCTCCTGTTGACGGGGCAATGATTCAGTCGTACTTGCAGCAGCCAGTGATCCAGCTTTAGGAGGTCGAGGCCGTAATTGCCTACGTCGTGGCTTCTCCTGTGTCTGCTGCTCCTCATGCTGATGTTGTGAGGGCAAGGATTCAGCCATACTTGTATCTGTCAGTGATCCAGCTTTGGGAGGTCGAGGCCGTAATTTCCTACGTTGTGGCTTCTCCTGCATCCGCTGCACCTCATGCTGATTTTGTGAGGGCAAGGATGTCATACTTGTATCTGTCAGTGATCCAGCTTTAGGAGGTCGAGGCCGTAATTGCCTACGTTGTGGCTTCTCCTGTGTCCGCTGCTCCAGCTGATCCGGTGTGTAACTCAATTCTGTTGATTTTAGTTCCGAAAATTTTTCAGGAAGTGGAAGATCTAATTGCTGTTCCGGCTGCAAAACAACAATATCAGAATTTTCCTCTCCAGCACTCTTCATCGGCTGCTCTTCCTCTGAAGATTCTTTTTTCTCTTCTTCCATAATAGGCTCAAGGGACTCAACAGACGGCAACTTTAAACTTTCATAATTCTTCTCATCTTCTAATGCTTGATTTTGTTCTTCAATCCCTTCCATCGGTTCTTTCAACTGATATTCTGCTTCAATTTCTTCTTCCATAATGGGCCCAAGAGACTCAACGGGCAGCACCTTTAATTTCCTGCCCTCACCCTTCTCACCAGCATCACAGGATTGCAACATCTCACTGATATCACCATCCTTCTCATAGTCTAATGCTTCATTTTGTTCTTCAATCCCTTCCAACGGTTCTTTCAATCCTTCCATCAGTTCTTTCAACTGATATTCTGATTCAACTTCTTCTTCCATAATGGGCCCAAGAGCCTCAACGGGCAGCAATTTTAATTTCCTACCATCACCCTTCTCACCATCATCACAGGATTGCAACATCTCACTGATATCATCATCCTTCTCATATTCTAATGCTTGATTTTGTTCTACAATCCCTTCCATCGGTTCTTTCAATAGATATTCTGATTCAATTTCTTCTTCCATAATGGAGCCAAGAGCCTCAACGGGCAGCACCTTTAATTTCCAACCATCACCCTTCTCACGATCATCACAGGATTGCAACATCTCACTGATATCATCATCCTTCTCATCTTCTAATGCTTCATTTTGTTCTTCAATCACTTCCATTGGTTCTTTTAACTGATATTCATCTTCAATTTCTTCTTCCATAATGGGCCCAAGAGACTCAAAGGGGAGCAACTTTAATTTCCTACCATCACCCTTCTCACCATCATCACAGGATTGCAACATCTCACTGATTGACGCTTGATTTTGTTTGTCAAAAGTATAATGTTCTAGTGCTTGATTTAGTTCTTCAATCCCTTCCCTTGATTCTTCTAACTGATATTCTGCTCCAATTTCTTCTTCCATAATGGACCCAAGAGACTCAACAGGCAGCACTTTTAATTTTCTACCATCACCCTTCTCACCATCATCATAGGATTGCAACATCTCACCAATTGGCGCTTGATTTTGTTTGTCAACCATTTCAGTATTATCTTCTAGTGCTTGATTCAGTTCTTCAATCACTTCCATTTGTTCTTTCAAGTGATATTCTGCTTCAATTTCTTGTTTGTTACATGGACAACCCAGTTCCCTTTGCCGCTTCTTGCTTCGCTTTCTCTTCAGTTCCTTCCTCTTAGAAGGACGTCTAGAGCTAGGTTTTTGTTTCCTGATTGCACCAGCAAGCAAATAAGAATTGTCACGAGTCAAAACAATCTCACCACTCACACAAAGTTTCCCCAGATGATGATTCAAGAATACAGAATGTGCCCATGGCAATTCTTTATACTCCTTTCTAATAAAATTTGATATTGACTCTTCACTAGAACCACCTTCCTCGTTCAACTCTTGAAGTGCCCTGTGTATCATCTGCACAACATGACACCACCCAAAAGATTTTATCCATCAACATGCAATGTACACACTACTAACATCTACACAGACAAAGCAACAAACACAAAGACACACACGTACGTAAATACTAACAGACAAAAGCAGAGCAATTATACCACTCCTCTATAACCTATCATTTTCCAACCACCAAACCCAGATTGTCCATATTTGAACATTTAAAAAATAGAAAGTTACTCCATTGTAGCTCAAAGTCCCCAATTCAGTTAATAATGGTTTTTTCTTTTTTTCTTTTTTTTTCACCTCAAAACAAATACAATCATGCATTCATGCATCTGGGTCTTCACACAAAAACCCTAATTTAAAAAACCAGCTCAAAGTCCCAATTTTATCATTCGCAGCACAAAGTCACAATTTTATCATTCATGTATGATATCTACAAAAAAATAAAAAAAATATATGTATATATAGTCGTTGAATTTAAAAATTGAGAAATAATTACCGCAGAGTAAGGGGGATGATCAGGAGGGCTGGGCGTGTGGGCGAAGAACTCTCGGATGCGTTTATCAATTAGACATTTTCGCGCCTCCGTTAAGGGTTTGTTTGGATGTCTGCTTGCCATTTCCATAACCGCAGCTCTAAAGTTTTCCATCGGTAATCGGTCATTGCTGTCTCTCGACATTGGGTTCGTCAAACAGTGAAGACTTCTCTTCGAGTGTAGATGGATTCGCAGAAGCTACACCCAAATGGAGCGCAAGGTAGAAATTCTAATTGGCTTATTTGAAAGATTGAGGATGCGAGAGAACGGATTTTAGGGAGGAAAATAACGATCGATTGATTAGGGTTTCGATTGGGTTCCCTAATTTGATTTATTGGGTTGTTGATGATAATGGATAGTTGCTATCAAATAGACCGGCTCTTGCTCTTGAGTTGGCCCATCATCAGTTGTAGTTTTATTTATATGTAGTACAGCAGCGCGAACTTCTAAAAGTTTAGTAGACTAATAATATTCGCAAAAAAACCCCTTATACTATTGAGAAACTTGCAATTAACCCCCTAAACTATCAAAATTACATAAAACTCCCTAAACTATACAAATTTGTTACAGATCACTCCATCCATCACTCTTCCGGTCGGATCCATCACTGTTCCGGTATACACTATAATTTTAATGACCATAATACCCTTATGAGGTTGAAAAGACACTAAAGCCCCTTATTATTATAACAATTAAATCCAAACACCCTTTAAACACCCAAACACGTCCTTATGTCTATATATATACACACACACACAGAGTAAAAAATTATTGTTCATCTTCTCCAAAATTCATGTTCATTGTAGAACTTTATTTAATCATACAAGTCTTCTGGATACTGGCACCATCACCACCGTCCCCATAACTGCACTCCCATGGAAAAACCAAGTCTTCTGTTGTGTGAAACCACTCCCAATGAAAAACCTAAGTTTGTTTGAATTACACTCCAATTATATACAAACGTACATGATGTAAGGATGTGTTTGGGAGTAAGAATTTTATAAAGATGTGTATTTAATTTATATTCAATCATACATCGTCCGACTTAATTGAGCCCATAATCGAAAAGATTGATTTTCTGGATGTCATTAATTGACCACAAAGATACAGAAAAAAGAAAATCCTAAAAAGAAACCCTATATCAACAACACAACCCACATATCCTTCACAAATTCTCACCACAGACCACACCTCGGACACCACATTTGTCGTGGGTACAAACGCGCCTATCAAGGACAGCGAAGAATCAAAGGGCGTTGGGACTCTCCGGCGACCGAAGCTTTTCCGATGGGCTTTATCGCCACGAACAACGACGTAGATCTGGAACGTCAGACTGAGGAGTTGATAAAGCGTTGGACATAGGGTTTGATTATTGGTGTCGATGTAGGGACGAAGAAATCGACGTGAAGTTCATGGCGGCAATGTTCACCGCCGCTGTTCTACCCTCTGCTCCATCGATCTCATCTACCGCTACTCTATCCATGATATCATGAATCATTCGGTGATCACTTCTCGGCTCGCTTCCGAGTTCTCAACCCAGTCCGATCTGTAAATCCAAGTCTTAGATCTGTCTCGCCGGATCTCCAAGACCCAATCATCTCCCTCTTCGCAGAGCTCATCATAGCCACAACTGAACCAGTCGTCTCCACTGGATCTGCCGTAACCGAATTTGTCTCGCCGGTGCCATCAACATTCTCACAGTCGTCTTCGCTCTCCATCTCCAAGCTCGCCGCTGCCGCTACTCCATCGCCAAGCTAAGCTCTTCACTGCACTAGTTACGCCATCGCCCACCGCTGCGCCAGTCACACCAGCGAGCTCTTCGCCACAGTTTTTCCGCGAACCACCATCTCTTCTCTCTCTCTCTAGCTTGTTGTTGGCCCGTTTGGGTGCATAAGTGGTCACTGAAAAAAAAAAGGTTTGGTAAGGGTCAAGTTAAAATGATGTAGTCTTCTAAAGGGTAAACTGGTCAGAATTTTTTTCCGGCATGGGCAGCTGACGTGGTGGGGTAAAATGCAACAAATTCATAGTTCAAGGGAGTTTTTTATAATTCAGGGGGTTAATTGAAATTTACCAATAGCTCAGGGGTTTTTTTTTCATTTTTCCTTATTCACTATAATAATAATAATATTCAATATGCAAAAATTGCATTATTTAACCTTTTCGGAAAAAAAATTGCATTATTTATCTTGATTTTATTATTATTAATCATTAACAAAATAAAAAAATATATGACAAGGTCGATAGCTAATTAGTGCTCGTGGGTCATAATATCAATATGAGACTATTCTACTAAATAACTCAATCCGAATATGACTCGTTTAATATTAATGTCAGGAACTCTTAACACTAACTCGACTTATTTATTAAATGAGTTAGACGTGTAATCCGTTTAATGACTTATTTACTACAAAGAAAAATTATATAGTCTATAGTCTACAAAAAAGAAAATTATAAGACACAATTTTAGATGCTGTTTTGGAACTTAAATATAATTTTTTGTACAACACATATAGTTAAACGGGTTACACAGATTGAATTACTCTAACTCAAACAAGACATAATTAACTCAACGGTGTTGGTTCCTGTGGTACTCCTAATTTCAGAGACACGGGTTGATCAAGTCCGCGCCTAAAACCAGGGGACATCAAACAATTAATAATAAATAAACACACAATACAAAAGGATAAATAATAAATAAATAATATCGCTGAAAAGGAAACTAAGTAATAAATAATTAATCCTCTAAGTAAATCCAATAATCCCCAAACGTAAATAATTCTTCAGAATACAACTCGACAATCTGTATCATGAAAACCTAATAAAATCCCATAACTAAAATTAATAATAAAAGTCTAAAACTGAATAAAAAAGACATAGTGGAAATTCTTACATTGACGACATCGGAAGAGTGATTAATAGTAGTCTCTGCTCTTCATGATCAACCACTAGGCCTGCTACTGATGAGGACTTGAAAAATATAACAAAGATGGGTCAAAACCCACGAACAAGTCATTTTTACAACCCAAATAGAGATCTGATAAACGTTATATCCCTAGCTAACTCATGCAATATCTACATATTCGATAGAAATATATATACACACTTAAGACTCTCATTGGACTAAGGGCAGACTCAACCGGATAGTGGGTATCTTATGCAAAGGGCATACTCAACCGGATAGTGGGTATCTCATGCAAAGCGCACACAAGGTGGTCATAAGTCCTTCTTTTACCAAGGCATACACATCCCTATATCCAGCTACCTATCTCAACTAGGAATATTGTGATAACCCGGATTTTTAAGATTTTAAATTTTATGATTTTTAGTCAAGATTGATTATTTAATTTTTGGTGATTTTGAGTTATTAATATTTTGTTCTTTAGTGTTGATATTTTCTTTAATTATTTGTTTTATCAAGTTAGTAGAGGCTTAGTTTTGATATTTTATAAATATAGTTTATATATGTTGTCTGCTGTGGGGATGTTTCATGCCAATCGCGGAAGTGGAAAGAAATGAAGAGAAAATTGAGATTTGTAGTGGTTTGGCATGGGTCCCACATTTAAAGATATTAATGGGTCTTGAATTTTTATTTTGTTATAATATATATATTCATATATGTTTTGACAGATGGAGTTATATATATATATAGTAAGCTAGGAAGTGGAAAGAGGGAGCACTTGACCGTAATGATGAGAGAAAAAGAAAGATTGAAATTGTGATTTTTGTGGGTCCCATAACATTTGATTTGGTTTGTTTTTATTAGGGTTAATTACAATGATATCCCCTGAGGTTTGACGTAATGACAGTTATATATAAGTTGGGCCATTTTTGAACGATGATTCCCCTTTAAGTTTGATAAAGTTAACAAAGACACCCAGTGACAATAAATTGACATTATTGCCCTTTAACCCATTAAATTATCAATTTACCTAAAAATAATTATTTTTAATTGACTACAATACCCTAAGACCCACCCCCACTCGTACTAATAAACCAAGCACCCACACCCCATCACAACCACTGCCACCACTAGGGGTGACAATATTTGACACGACACGAGATAAGTGGGTTAGGGTTTGGGTTAATTGTGTTCGTGTCATAATCGTGTCGACACGGATTGACCCGCTAACTAAACGTGTCCTGTTCGTGTTTGACCCTGTAAACATGATTATGACACGATTAATCCGATTAACTAAACATGTCGTGTTCGTGTCAAAAATGACCCATTTAGCAAAATATGTCGTATTCGTGTCGAAAATGACTTAAATGTGTCTTTTCGTGTCGTGTCAAATCTTGACCCATTTATTAAACAGGTTATGCATATCGTATCGTGTTACATGTATAATAATGGTGTCATGTTCATGTCAAGGGTCTTAAACACGATTAATAATCGTGTCATGTTCGTGTTAACCCTAATCGTGTCCGTGTCGTAATCGTGTCGACACGAACACGACACGCCAACACGAATTGCTACCCCTAGCCACCACTACACAGCTTCACCATAGCCACCACCACCACCTATATTATTGAATGCCAAATTCTAGTCAGTTAAAAAGAAACTTCGCTAGCTGGCTTAATTCAATCTTTTGTTTCATTGTTGACTTTTGATTGGGTTCATTTAATCTCAACTTTGTTGAATAACATTTGATTAGTTTGTAGTTAGATTCTATGATGATTGTGGTTCAATTTAGAGGAATTTATTTTGCCAAATTCTGTTCTGTATTATGTAAAGTTTTCCATAATCTTAAAATTACTGATGTGCAAACCCTCTAAGTAGCAATGAGCACAATTTTTTTGTAAATTCTTTAGCCAAAACTCTGCTTCCATTTCCCGCAATTATTGGGTTTATTTTATGTTCCCATAGTACGAAGGTTGGTATATCTTAACAAATTATTGTTGAAAACATTTTATTGTATCAAGAAATCCATTGAACAAGCGGATTCACATGCCCTTATCTACATTGCCAGTGGCCAAGATGGGTCATCTCCATTGACAATCCACGACGGCGAAATTGACGACAACAGCGGTGTTGGTGGTGGTGAGTGGTGATTGGGTTGATTTTGATTGGAGATGTGAAAGCCTTTGTGGTCGTTGGGAGGAAGGACAGAAGGGTCTGTCGTCGCCGGCGGCGAACCAAAGGTCTCTAATGGCCACTAATCAATTGGGGTTTGATTGGAAACCTAGGCAGTGGTGAGTGGTGGTAGGTGAAATCGAAGGCAATGGTGGGTGAAATTGAAGGGGTGGGTTTTTTCTTGGGTTGTCTTCAATTAGGTGGCGGGTAGAGGTTGGAGAATTGGGTGTGGCGACATCGTTGAGGGTGGTGGCGGCTAGTGCTCTCTCTTCCCCGATGCTCTTCCATATATATATATATATATGAGGGTAATAATGTATATAATGTATATATATA